CCGCCACGGGCGTCGGGACGTGCTGGCCTATCTGGCCGAGGCCTGGGACCTGGACATCGAAGCCGCCAACCGCGACTACAAGCGGCCTCTGCACGAGGCTGCCTCCACGGGCCACCGGGACTGCGTGCGGTACCTGCTGGGCTGCGGAGCCGCGGTCGACTGCCTGAAGAAGGCCGACTGGTAGGTGGCGGGAGTTCCAGAAAGACCCCCTACCCTTGCCCCGCAGGACCAGATTCCCACGTGCTTCGTCTGCCTCCACACCATAGCTTCTCCACCTTCCCCAACATATAGGGCAGATCGCCTACAGCGAACATTGTTCTGGCCGGTGGGGTTAACTCTTTCACTCTTCTGTTCCAGACTGCTTCCCTTTATAAAGCAGGGAGTCGTGTAGAATATAATCGAGCAGATAAAATATGATCAAACGGTGAATTGTCTGCACTACATATAGCATGAATCCCAGGATGCGGTGTTCTTCTGGAAACATCTAGCTAAATGATTGCCTCACCAATGGCATTGTTTTAACTTTTTATTTCGATAATAGTTATAGGTTCCCGGAAGGTTGGGAAGAAATGTTCAGGGAACTCCCATGCGCCCTTCTCCTAGCCTCCCCCAAGGTTAACGTCTTATACGGCTACGGTACAATAACGAGACTAAGAAACTGGCATTGCTACAATCAATATGCTTATTCAGGTTTCACCAGTTATACATGCACTTGAGTGTGTGTGGCGCTCTGTGATTTTCTCACATGTGTAGCGTTGCATAACCACGTCCACAGTCAAGATGCTCACCTGTACCATCACACAAACCAGTTGCACTTTGTTAGATGGACATGTTTTCAATACTCAATATGTCAGCCTCCTTAGAGATTATGAATGTCTTAAGATTCATAACATAATGACGTTCCTGCCTGCAGACAGCCATATAGTTAAATAAAATGCATCTTGCCCGTGGGGATGGGGGAGTAGGCCTGGTTATGTTTTGAGGGTTGCACTTTGGCTGTGACTACGCACAAGACTGATTTTCTTGTGCTGCTGGTAAGTTGGTCCAAAGATGGTTCCCAGAGACATATTAGCTCATATACTCCTTTTTTTTTTTTTTGTGAGGAAGATCAGTCCTGAGCTAACATCCATGCTAATCCTCCTGTTTTTGCTGAGGAAGACCAGCTCTGAGCTAACATCTATTGCCAATCCTCCTCCTTTTTTTTTCCCCCCCCAAAGCCCCAGTAGATAGTTGTATGTCATAGCTGCACATCGTTCTAGTTACTGTATGTGGGACGCGGCCTCAGCATGGCCTGAGAAGCGGTGCGTCGGTGCACGCCCGGGATCCGAACCCAGGCCGCCAGCAGCGGAGCGCGCGCACTTAACCGCTAAGCCACGGGGCCGGCCCGCTCGTATACTCCTTAAAACAATTCTGTGGATAAGGAAATAGCCTCCCCAAAAAGCGCAAGGTCCATTGGGTTATGTATTTGGGGCATGTAGTCACCGTGAGACATTTTTGCCCATTCTCACCTTTCTGATTTTCTGAAATACCTTCTTCCCTGCTGTTCCAGTCATCCTGCCTTGCTCAAGATTCATTACCCCTGTGAAGCCCATCTTAGAGGTTCCAGCCTTCATTTATCTGGGTTTTTCCCTCTTAATTTCTCATTCACTATCATTGCTACATTACCAAAGATGCACATACATAGTGTTGGTAGTTAGTATCGTACCAACCTTAGAAGAGAGATCCTAGATGAGACCTTAGAGGTCGTCTAGGTATAGTGGGCTCCTGCTATGTGCCAGACATGGGTTCTAACCCTGGAATAGGAGGTAAACAAGACCTGCCCCTGCTTTCCAGGAGTCATAGCTCCCTTGTTTTGCAGATGAGAAACCAGAAGCTCATGGAAGTGAAATGCCTTATCCCAGATCATTTGTGTGGGAGACGAGGAAGGCCAGAGCCACCTCCCTTGATATGAATATAGTTCACTCTCCCATAATTGTGGACACAAGTCCACAAGTGAGTGTAATCACACTGTTTCATTTGCTTCACCAGTGCATGCTCCTTATGGCTAGGCGCTATGTCAAATGCTCTTCCTTAACTCCTTTTCAGCACAGTTTAGTTGATAAGAGGTTACTGACTGAAGTGACTGGGATAGGTCCAGCAGAGTACCTCTTATGTCTCTGGTTTTCATTAGCTCTCTCCCAATTCAGTGCCATACTGTAAACTAGTTCAGAAGCAGCTCTGCCTCCTCAGTATTTTCCTCCTGTAGGTGCGCCTTCATCACCATTGTTTTCCCCTTGTTATTTTTTCCAGGGCCCTCAGGGCAGGCAGAGAAGTAGCCAGTCAAAGCTGTCTTCCTGCTTCCCAGACCCCTGAGTCTTTAGGTTTTCCATCTCTACCAAGTTGTACATTTTTCTGGCCGCGTACTTCTAATGTCTCAGCTGCCGTTCCACCTGACAGGGTCAGATGACGTTGTCCTGCTTGGCTTAGGACGCCTCTGATGATGGCTTGCACGAGGAGGAATCTTGGGGTGATCCAAGACCTTGTAGAACATGGCGCCAGCCCACTTCTGAAGAACAAAGATGGCTGGAACAGTTTCCACATTGCCAGCCGAGAAGGCGACCCTCTGATCCTCCAGTACTTGCTCACTGTCTGCCCAGCTGCCTGGAGGACAGAGAGCAAAATTGGGAGAACTCCTCTGCACACCGCAGGTATGGCTAGAGCCCTGCAGGGACGCGGGCGCAGACGTGCAGACTGTCTCACCCAGCACTGCAGAACATCGAGTTCGAGGCACCCACACAGGAATGGAGGATTCTGGAAAATAGAGGGCAAGGAATAAGAGCAGCTTTGGGGTCTTTTGGCGTACAGTCAGTTTGCAAAGCTAATGTAACTTGGCACTTAACTTGCTCTTCTTTCTTGTATTAGTTCACTTTTCATGTTTGTCTGTCCTGTCCTCCCTAGTTAGTTAGAGGATAAGCTGGTTCTGTTCCTTACCAAGTCTTTGACCTTGGGCAAGAAACAAGTCTCTTGAATAAGGTTCCTCATTAGCAAAATAATGATGGCGATGATGCCCATATCACATGGTGGTTGTAAGGTTTCCGGAGCATGATGTGTGGAAATCCCTTAGACAGTGCTTGACACGTGGTGAGCACAGAACAGCTGGCTGCTGCTCTCTTTGTGGTCAGTTTCATATTGTTGTTATTAAAGGCAGGAGGAAAAGAGGTGCTATTTCCTTACATCCTCAGCAGCACCGACCACGGTGCTGTCCATTTAAACCAATAGAGGTGCTTATAATTCAATACCTGGGCCGAGAGCATTTGACTGTCTAGTGATAATGTCAGATATAGATTTGGGGTACAGTTCTCATTGTTTGAAGTAATAATCCTTAACTCTGAATTATCTATTCCTAGATTATTTTAAATTAGTGAAAAGCAAAAGGGCAGTGGTGTAAGACAAGACAGATGCTAAAGAGCTCAAGTCCAGATCCAGAAATTCAGAAAATAATCTTTAGCGTTTTAGGTGGTACGTTGAATTAGAATACAGGGCTCTTAGTTTCTCTCAAAATCAATACCTGTGACATGGTGTAATGTAGGAAATAGGCATCCAATTATTCTAGCCACAGTGGGCAGGTGGGGACCAAGGATTCCTTTGTAAAACTTTGCAAGTGAGTAGAATACTTTTCTCCGCTGACAGATTGATTGACTAGCTCCCCTGCTCTTCTGGAGAAACAGCACCCAGTCATTCTCACAAGACAGTGGAGAACACACAGTCAAAATCTTCATTATTGAGTATAGTTAATTTTAGTAGGAGAATTAAGTTCCTAGATGTTTTGTCATGGATTACTATTAAAATGTTTTATGTTTCCTCGGCAAGAACTGACTGGCCTGAGGGATTTGCAGCACGTAAGTGAGGAGATAAGTCTAAGATTGAAAATTTGCCATGAAAGTGCCCATAAAGACAAGGTAATCAGGTTTTGGCTATGTACCTGTTAAGTGAAAACATCATTCTTTACCACTTATCCAGCTAAATTTTTATTTTTCTAGGGTGGTAACAGTATACCTAACTTAGTCCCTGTAAGTCATAGCTAAAAGGCTGGGGCAGAGAGAGGTGCCAGGAGAAAAGAAGCAATTTATACGTGGACTAAAAGCTCTAATTCTCGATTCTCTTCTCCCAGCAATGCATGGCTGTTTAGAGGCAGTAAAGGTGCTTCTTCAGAGGTAAGAACAAAACAGCAAATTGAGGAAAATAATTCACTAATTATGACACAGGGTTAATATCGATGTTACATGAAATGCTCAGACAGATTGTTCAGAAGGAAACCAAGGTACCAAAAGAGACATGAACAAAGGACATAAGTAACTCAATATAAAACAAAAATAGCCAAGAAGCATGAGAAAAAAATCATGCATTTATCTATTTATTCAATGAATATTTGTGTATTCACTCAGTGCTTAATATAAATGAAGCACATATGAGATGCAGGGGCTGCAGCAGAAATGAGACAGTGTGGTTGCCCCGTCCTGGAGCTCACAGACTGGCAGGGAAGACAGACACTCACAAGTTGGGAGTCTGATGAGCGTTACAAGGAATGGCAGGACCCCTATAGGAGCACATGACAGGAAGACCCAGCTCGGCCTGGGAGTGAGGAATCTCAGCCTCAGTGATATTTAAGCTATGACCCGAGGAGGCTGGAAGCGGGAGGCAGGAGGCATTCCAGACAGAGGTGACAGTACCGTGAATGCTCAGGGCTGGAAAAAAGCATAGTGCATTTAAGAAACTGGAAGAAGGGGCAGACCCAGTGGTGTAGCAGTTAAGTTCGAGCGCTCCCACTTTGGTGGCCTGGGTTTCGCGGATTTGGATCCCACGCGCGGACTTACGTGCTGCTCATCAAGTCATGCTGCAGCGGTGTCCCATATATAAAGTAGAGGAAATTGGGTACGGATGTCAGCTCAGAGACAATCTTCCTCAAGCAAAAGGAGGAGGATTGGCAATAGATGTTAGCTCAGGGCTAATCTTCCTCACAAAATAAAAGAAACTGGAAGAAGTTCAGTACAGGCTGAAGCCTAAAGAGTGGAGGAGAGAACGGGGCGTGCTGGTGCTGGAGAGGAAGGCCAGATTTACATCGGGTGGAACGCTAGACCACATGAAGGATTTTAGATTTTATTCTGAGCCTGTAAGCTGCCATGAAGGGTGTTAAGTTGGACGCAGGGGTATGTAATAAGAAATTCATATTTTTCAAAGGTCCTTAGGTTACAAAATAGAGAATGGATTGGAGGGGGAGCAAGAGTGGGTGCTGTGGAAGCAGTTGGGAGCTGTTGCAGTTGAGGAGAGAAGGAATGGTAGCTGGACTACGAGGCTGACTGTAGGGATGAGGGGAGAGATTTGGAGATACTGAAGAATAGAATCAACAGCTCTAGGTGAGTAATTGGATGAAGGGCCTGGGGGAGGTGACTGAGCTTTCTCACTTAAGGCACCGCTGACGGTGCCCGCGCCGTTTACTGAGGTAGAGAACCCTGTAAGAGCAGCAGCGTTTGGGCGAGAAGATGATAATGTCACTTGTGGACATTGAGTTGCACGTGCCCGTGAGACATTCAAGCAAAGATGTGAAGCAGGCCGTTGGAGACACAGCTGTGAAGCCCAGAGGAGAGGTATGGGCTGAGATACAGATGGGGGCCTCATCAACACGGAAATGACAGTTGACTCCATAAGAGAGGAAGAGACTACCTGAGGAGACAACGTATGGTAAGAAGAGAAGAGGACTTAGCGCAGTGCCCTGGAAGCGTTGCTTAGGTGTGGGCCTTGCCTGCTGCGCATTGGAACATACTTGGTTTCTGCAGGTTTATCGATAGTCCTTCATTCATTCAACAAGCATTTCTTAAGCACGTCCCATGTGTCAGGTGCAGGGTGGCGAGCAAAACAAACATGGTCCTTTCCCTAAAGGCTGTAGGCTGGTGTGGGAGCCAAGTATAGGCGAACAGTCACAGAAATAAATACCATAAAATTACAAATTGTAATAATACTACAAAGGAAAAGTACACAATGCCATGAGGGAACAAATGTACAATAGATGGGGGAAAGAAGACAGGTCTCTGTGAGGTCACATTGAAGCTGCGATTCGAAGGACGGGCTAGAGTTTGCCAAGTGAAGAAGGGAGAAATAATGTTCCAAGCAGAAGGAATCAGCAAGTGCAAAGGCAGCAAAGAGCTGGGCAACTGGAGGAATAGAAGGCAGCACAGGTAGAAGGTAGGACCAAGAGAGGGTAGGAATGGGAGAAGATAGGAGAGGTAGTAGGCGGGATCGAAAAGAAAGGAGGACAGGCAGGAATGGGAGAAGGGAGGGCTGTGAACATGGTAGGAACGGAAGAAAAGTGGGATCAAGAAGAAGGTAGGACAAGTAGGACCATCAAGAAGGTAGGAGTGGAAGCAGGAAGAAGGGAGGAGCGGAAAGAAGGGAGGCTGTGGGTGCACGGGGAGCAGTGAGTGTGGGGCCTGGAGAGGGAAGTAGGTGCCACGTTCTCCCGACCGTTGGAAGTCTGTTGAGATGTTTGATTTTGTCCTTTGTGATTGGGAAGTAGTTAAAGGTTTTAAGCAGGAGTGGCCGTACCCAGGTTAGGTGGTGAGAAGATGACTCTGCTGGCTGAGAGAATGGCTTAGCAAGGCAGGAGTCGTGGTGAGAATAACGATTAGGAGGCGGTTGTCTGTTGACTTGGTCTTAAGGGGTGAAAGAGATGGAGAGGAGGGTACAGTGTTTAAAAATACTTTGGATGTAGAATTGAGAGATTTTGGTAATAGGTTGGTTGTGGGGGATAAGGGATGACTCCAAGGCTGCTGGCGTGAGAAGCTGGAGCGATGATGGCCCGTAAACGTGGTGATGACGGTCAGAGGAGGGGCAGATTGGCTGGGGAGAAGCGGCATGCTTCCGAAGAGCTCAGTTCAGACACTGAGATGGGGCAGAGCGGGAGAGTCGCGGGTGTTACGGATCATTTGTAAGGCATGTCGTGGGCTGTGGGTGGGCAAGAGTGGACTGTCCATTGGGTTTGAAGCAGTAACTTTTCTCAGGTCTGATATGTTGGGTTTGGGCTCTAGGTGCCAGTATGAACCAGACTGCAGAGACAAGTGTGGCCTCACGCCCTTCATGGATGCTATTCAGTGTGGTCACATTGACGTAGCCAGGCTGCTCCTCGAAAAACATAAGGTACAGAAATGGTTTGGTTTTATTCCTTTGGTTCTTCCTATAAGTTTCAGATCATAGATTAAATAGAAAGCATAGGTATTCAGATCCTGGCTTCAAATCCCAGCTCTGCCACAGGGACCCCTTGACCTCTTTAAGCATCAGTGTTCCCATCTGTAAAATGGAGACAAATTTAATCTCTTCAGAGGGTTACTATGAGGATTAAATAATACAATGTACATAAAACAGTTAGCAAAGTATTCCATAAACAGCAGCTGTTTTATAGTATTAATAACAAACTCCCCACAGAGTATACTTTGGCACTTTAGCGTAGAGCATTGACTCTTAACCATTTCTTTGATTACAAAGTCCTTTGAAAATCTGACAAAAGCTATGTATCATTTGCCGAGAAAAATGTACGTAGATGACAGAGTTTTGCCAGAATGTCGCAAGGTCTGTGGACCCAGGTTTCTCCGCTCCTTACTTTTGTTCCTGTCTCTCCCCAACCTACTAGGCTTGCATTTCTGCTGAGGATTCCCTGGGGGCCCAGGCTATCCACAGGGCAGCAGTCACCGGGCAGAATGAAGCCATCCGATTCTTGGTCTCTGAACTTGGCGTTGACGTGGATGTGAGAGCAACATTGACCCGCCTCACAGCTCTTCATTATGCGGCTAAGGTTTGTTTCTTTTTGTAACGGTGTCCCTGCTCCCTTAGGCTTGCCTTACTCCATTGATGAATAACTCCATAGTTCTGTTTCTTTGGCTTCAACTCTGTGGAGGAAAGAAACGGCCCATGATATACTCCTGAAATGTTTATCATTCTGAAGCCCAGTGCCCCTTGAAATAGAAAACTGCCTTTATTTTTTTCTAGGTAAAAACTGAAAAAAAAACCTTTACTCCATTTAATGCCTGGGCTTTATGTCCCCCCCAATTTTTTTGTTTTCAGGAATGTTATTTGAAGCCATAAAAATCCATTGTATGAAATTGCTAGCTCTTTATCCTTATACTGGATTTTAGAAGTTAAGATTTCTTTAACTGAGACAAGGAAATTGCATTTACTAGGCTCTCCAGTGTATAAAACACTTACGACGTGCGGAACGTTTTCCCTAGAAAAGTAGCTGCTGACGCCCTCCTGTTTTAAATGCCACAAGTCTTTTGTGTATTATCTTCAACGTGATTGGCTACCTGCCTTTATTTGTTTTTTTTAGCAACAGAAATAAATTTTTTCTGTGTTCCCCCTATGAGAAAGTGGACAGATAGATGAGGGTAGGCCAAGAATATGGTCTGTTCCCCCATGAGAAAGTGGATAGATAGATGAGAGTGGGCTAAAAGTATGGTCTGTGGCCGCAGGGGGAAAAAAGCTAGTGGGTCCACCCATGGGAAGATGGAACCTGCAACCTTGATTTTAGTCTCACCATGTACTGGTGGACCAACTGGCCAGACAAAAAGTATATAAGTTGCTTTATAAATGATAATGCCAGCTGTGATAAGAATCCCGTCCAGGAGAGGTTACAGTCTTTTCTAGTTTATCTCTGCCCTAAATATTTTAGCAAAGACTATTTGCTTGGGAGGTTTTGGAATTGTGTGTTCTGTACAAATCGCAAGATTTATACTCCTTGCACTGCAGGAAACTCAACTGTATTAGTTGATAATTTGGCCTACAAAGTTGATCATCTATGTTCTAATAACTGTCACCAAAATCTTTATTTAATGATTCACACTGAAATTTGAGAGTGATATAACACATCTTCCTTAGCTACGAAAATTCAGTTTTAGCAGTTAAATATTTTAGAAAAAGTACCTAATATGCATTAGAGTTTGCATTTAAAGCCTTGCTTTTGTCCTCGTCACAGTGATAACAAGTTTATTTCAACACTCAGGAAGGTCATGTGAGCACAGTTCAGACGCTCTTATCCTTGGGTGCTGACCTCAGCTCTAAAGATGACAGAAATCGATCAGGTATGACCTCATTTTACATAAGGCTTGGAAATTATTAGTAAACCAAATGTAAATAGTACATGGACTTTAATATTAAAAACAGTGGTTTTAACAACACACAGCCAGAGAGAACTGTATGGTGGTTACCAGGGGCAAGGAAGTTGGGGGGTGGGCACAAAGGGTGAAGGGAGGCATTTATATGGTGACTGACAAACAATAATGTACAACCAAAATTTCACAATGCTGTAAACTATTAAGACATCAATAATAAAAAAACAAGAGAAAACGTTGGTTTTAATATTATTCCTCTAGTAGCTCAGCAGCTGTTCTTGAACATCTCCTCTACTTGCAAAGCTATAGGACTATTGCTGTCACCATAGCCATAATGGTGACTGCTGTTCATCACTACTACTGTGACTGTAGTTTTTATTATTTTAAGCTCCAGCAATATATGTGACATAAAAGCACTTTCTTAATCCATGATGGCACCAGGTATTATATAGATTCCTCATAGGTCGTCTCTCTTTGGAGCGTGTTTAAAAACTATAATCACTATAATTTTTTAAATTTAGAACTCAGAAAGGTATTTTCAGGGCTAATTTTTTTTTTTTTTTTTTTTTTTTTTGTGAGGAAGACCAGCCCTGAACTAACATCCGATGCCAATCCTCCTCTTTTTTTGCTGAGGAAGACTGGCCCTGGGCTAACATCCGTGCCCATCTTCCTCTACTTTATATGGGACGCCGCCACAGCATGGCTTAACAAGCGGTGCGTCGGTGCGTGCCCTGGATCCGAACCGGTGAACCCCAGGCCACTGCAGCAGAGCGCGCGCGCACTTAACCGCTTGCGCCACGGGGCCGGCCCCCAAAGCTAATTCTTTAGACTTGGACTTTAGAATAAACCCTCCTGTTGACAGTCTGTGCACCAGTGGCCACCTTGCAAGGGTTTAGTGGGATCTCCATGATGCCTCAGAGACTAACAGATAACTGCTCGCTCTAGGGCTACAGAGGACACTCATGACGTTCAGGGACACAAGGCTTTCTCCTAAAGACAGGGCGGCAGGACCCAGGATCTTTGGGCTCGCAGCACACTGGAAGCCCTCAGCACTAATTTCTAACCAGGATGGGAAGACTTGTCAGCAGTTTTTCTTTTTGTCACATCATTCTTATTCATGGTGATATTTTTACTTACACAGAGAATTCACGAAGCTTTGAGAATGTTTTCTGTGCCATTTAAAGTTTCCCATTTCTCGTTAACTTGCTTTGTTGCTTTAAACAAGTCTCTTAAATCCTCTCCAATTGGTTTTGTTATTTTTAAAACCATTTCCATCCCAATCAGGTAAAAGGAAAAATATTTTGATATTGTATAGGCAAAGTCGTAAGGATGAATTATGGAAATATAAAATCTGTGTAATTGAAAGGTCATTATTGCTTTGGGGTCGCGCACTGAGTTCCTGTGACTTATGTCTCCGCTCAGCCCTGCACCTGGCCTGTGCAGGGCAGCACGTGGCTTGTGTCGAGTTTCTCCTGCGCTCTGGGCTAAGAGACTCTGCAGACATCACGGGCGCCCTGGCTCAGCAGCTGGCACGGAGCACAGACATCCTTCATTGCTTCAATCACAGCGTGACGACGTGAGGGTGTTTCTAAAGGAAGATAAGACAGTGCATGGTAATTTCCTTCCTGCTGCTTACGTCATTACCAGATTCAGTGAAATCAGTGAATAGCCAGTGTTTTCTGCCTTCCTTCCCTCTGCCCTCTCCACTCAGTTGAGAATTCCCAGATGATGGGGAGGCTGGCTTCCTAGCTATGTGACTGGCACCTTGTGAGATCTTGAGCACAATCAGAATCTTTCCATAATTTGTATTTCACTTTCCTTCACTTCAGGTGGAATTAGATGATGTTTATGAAGTCAGTGTCTGGAATCTTTAGAAAAGCATGTAGGGGCCGGCCCTGTGGCTTGGTGGTTAAGTGCGCGCGCTGCAATGCTGGTGGCCCGGGTTCGGATCCCGGGTGCGCATCGAGGCACCACTT